CAATGGCTCCCAGTTGTCCCTTCAACTGCTGACCCTTCAACGGCATTCCTGCCCCTGTATTTTAAGATATCTTGTGTCTTCTACAATTAATCCCCTCTTTCTGCTTAAGTTAGTTTGCTTTGGGTTTCTGTTTGATGCCCAAAATGTCCTACCATGGTAATAAGACACTTCCTGAAACCCTGCTGCCCTCTACTTCTGTGTCTCCCACCTGTGCTCTAAGGACAACCTTTCCCTGACTTCACTATTATCCTTGGTGTATTCTCTGCCTTAGAAGTCCTTACCATTCACAATCCCTCTCTACTCCCTTACTTTTACTCCCAATCCTTGAAGGAAATGCTAACAAAGAGACAGAGAACAGCTTGGGGGAAGGTCATTTATCTAGGCCTGGGCTTATGAACAGATAGGATTTTCATTAGTCTGAATCTCCCAGGACATGTGATACAAAGGCTAAAAACCACAAAAAGTTTCAAAACAAAAAGTGTTATCCAGGTCCAACAGAGCAGGCTGGGTTACTCTGGGGGCCACCTGAGGGATAAGGCACCCCTTGCTTATAGGACCTTTGGAGGAGCTCCAGTGGCAGCTGTACCCTAGCTCCTCTTACTAAGGGTCCTCCTCAGGTCACCTTAGCTACAGCTGGTTCTTCCAGATGCACATAAAGCTATTGTTTGATGAGGTTACTGCTGTACCTGGAAAATCACAAGCCTAGCATTGTCCAAAAAGCCCCATCTTAGTGGTGGCACACACCTTTAATCCCAGCACTCGGGAGACAGAGGCAGGTGGATCTCTGTGAGTTTAAGGTCAGCGGGGTCTACAGAGCAAGTTCTAGAACAATCTGTGCTACACTGAGAACCCCTGTCTATAAAATCAAGACCAAAAACAAACATTTAAGTCCCCTTGTGCTGCTGAAAGGCTCGGGCCTAGAAAGTAAGTGAAGTAGCTAGAAATCTCAGAGCCCTTGAAGGATCCCTGAACGTAGGTAACCATCGAGCTGAGAATGGTGTCAATATAGTCACAGTGTTACCCAACAGCGAAACTAAAAATAATCTGTCATTTCACCACAGCGTGCCTGCCTGGCTGTGTGGTACAGAACAAATGTCAGAGTACAGGCTGCTGCTGTATTTCCATCAACAGAAGGTCTGATGACATCAAGAAGGACTCAGAGATGCGACTGTGAAGATGACCTGGGTAGTGGCCACTGAGTGTGTGGTTCATTGGGCTAATCCTTGCATGTGCTGTCCCCGCACACCCCTCCCCTCCGCATCACATTTCTCAGAAGCTATTTACTTATGTCTCTTCAAAGGGCAATCAGGAGTTAGCTTTGACATCTTTGCTAACCATCCTTCCTGGATATTTCTGCTTATTCTGATAACAGGTCATGTTTGTATCTTCTGTACCTATCCCTCACTATACTACATATAACTGAGGGTGTGAATCCTATCTGTTCATTTCTATCTCCCAGACCTAACTGAGTGCCAGCAACATGGAAAATCTCAGTAAAATACTTATTAGACAAATAGATGAACAAATGGACAGATGAAAAAAATCTAAACCCCACAGGGAAGGTCCTGGAAAGCTTCTTTGAGAACCTATTGACTGGTCTGAATCCTCAGGGAGTCCATGACATTCTCCTTAGTAAAGTGAGAGGGGAAAGGGAAAGATGGAGGATGTTCAAGGTACTTGAGGTTCCTTTCGAGAGAATCAAAGGTGGTTGATATGACCAGCGTGGGCAAGAGGAAGGGGATAAAGCTGAAGAGATGTCCGAGGGAACTCCGGGGGTTCCATCAAAGTCTGAGACTCACTGTTTAACGGATGAGGAGCTATGGAATAACAAAGGCCTCTGTGGGAGAGGAACATGATGGAATCTTCTCCTGGAAACTTTTCTTGGCAGCAGTGTGACAGGTGACAGACAGCTGATGGAAGTGGATTGAAGTGGACTGCAGGGACCAGGCAGGAACCATTGCAGTCAAGGATGCATACGCAGAAAGGATGGCCTGATGGACGAGGGCACCTCAGCACACTCTCCTTCAGGACCAGTGTCTAGAGGTTGTGAAGAGTGGTGGACGTGCCAAATACAGCAGAGCTTCATAGGACATAACCACTGTCACTCAGGATGACGGTTGTGGAGCCTCAGTCCCTCATAAAGGAAATGAGTGTCTCTCTCTGAAGCAGCAGTTCCTGGGCCACCTCCCTTCTCCTAGGGGTTAAGATACCCACCAGTCTCTGCAGTTTTTTTCAGTAAGGGAATTAAAACAAAGCAATGAAGGAGGAGGAGCCACAGTGTGACCGAAGAGAAAGCACATGGGGAAGAGCCCTTGTCTCATTCACAATCAAGGAAACATGAATGCCACGGAAAACAGAGAGAAATCTGACGATGGTGTGGCCCACCATCAGGAGCCCGAGTTTACAAAGAAAAATGTCCTGGGTATTTGCCCAGCTTCTTTATGAAGGTAGATGAGCCCTCCCTTCACTATCCAGGACTGGGCAGACAGCAGCGCGGAGGTTCAAACCCCTTGCTCTCAGATAGCAGGTCTTAACTGTGGCTATATATTGGAATTAACTGAAGATTTAAAAAAAAAACACTGATCCCTAAACCTTAAACCCAAGAGACCCTAATTTAATTGGCTTTCCTTTTGGCATGTTTTGGGAATTGGTCTGTTTATAGAGTCCTTTGGGTGATGTGAACACAGAGTGGGCTGAGAACAACTGCTCTAAACCAGGAACCACCAGACTTGTTTTGTAAAGGGACGGAGGGTCATTATTTGAAGTTTTGTGGGCTGTGTGATCTCTGTTAACACCTCTGTTCTATGGCTGGAGTGTGACTGGAACCACCCACAAAATGTAAGTGAATGAGTATACACGTGTTCCAATAATACTTTATTTATAAAAACAGTGTGGGCTGGATTTGGGTCCTGAGCCACGTTTTCTTGCCTACTGCACAGTTCAGTGCATCCACTGACTGATCCGGACTTTTTAAGGTGTAGAGGAAGAAAAAGTAGAAAAATACTGCCATCTTTAAAAAAGGCACTTGGGATAACGTTCTATTTTTACTTTAGTACAATGAGATATGTTTCCGAGTTCCGTTTCCTGAAGTGTTTCTAAGGAAGTAAAATTGTGGTGACTGACAGAAATTCACCTCTCTTGCAATCCAACTTATAATAGCTGTCTACTCACAGTGACAGTGGGGCTAGTTTCACATTCAAAATATGCCAAAGGGTCTGAACAGAAACCTTGCTTTATCTAAATTAGCCCCAGTAAAGCTGGCAGGTAGAGTCTGGGGCATAAACGGAAAAGTAGATTACTAACCTTCCTTAAACTTCCATGCCGCTTGACTTTTTAGGGGAGAACAAGAATGACATTGTATGTGCTTGTGGAGGCAGGAGGTGAATGCTGGACACTGTCCTCCATCTCTCCCAACCTCAGTTTTTGAAACAGGGTCTCTCACTGAACCTAGTTTGCTGTTTCTGTTAACTGGCAGGCTGGCAAGTCCGAGACCTGCCTGTTTCTGAGCACCACCACACTTGGATGTTTTCTTCATGCATCACTTACTTAAGGTACCCGCTTACGATGCTTACGGTGTGTGTGTGTGGTGTGATGTGCATGTAGTGTGTGTGTATGTGGTGTGTACATGTATGTGGTGTGTGTGATGTGTGTATATGTGATGTGTGTGATGTGCATATAGTATGTGTGTATATGTGTGTGTGTGATGTATGTAGGATGTGTGTATACGTGGTGTGTGTGTGATGTGCACATAGTGTGTGTGTATGTGTATGCATGTGTACATGTGTGTGTATATGTGTGATGTGTGTGTATGTGGTGTGTGTGGTATGTGTGGTGGGTATGTGTATGTGTGATGTGCACATAATGTGTGTGGTGTGTGTATGTGTACGTATGAGTGTGTGTGTGTGATATGTGTGTATGTGAGTGTATGCATATGGTAAGTGTGTGTATGAGTGTGTGTGGTATGTGTGTATGTGTGTATATGTGGTAAATGTGTGTGTATGTATATGGTATGTGTAGTATGTGTATATGTATGTGTGTGTGTGTATGGTGAGGTATGCATATGTGTATGTGATGTTTATGTGGTGTGTGTGTGTGTGCGCGCGCGCGCACGTGCGTACACAACAGAGTGTACATATGGTAGAGCTCAGAGGGGTCAGTTCTCTCCTTTTACTCTTTGGGTTCTTCTGGAGCTTGAACTCAGCCTATCGGGCTTGGTATCGAGTAACTTTACCATTGAGTCATCTTGCAGGCACCCAAATTTGATTTTCTGTGTGGATGCTACAGACCCAAACTCAAGCCCCCATAGCATGAAGGAAGGCACTCACTCACTAAGACATCTACCTAAGTCCTCAAGTGTGAAAAACAATCAGTAAGATATAAAGATGAAAAAATTGTCAGTGATGAATGAATAAAACAGATTAGACTCATAAAAATCAGCACTAAGTCTTAGATACTGAACGGGACAGAAAAAGTTAGGTCCCAAAATGAGACGATTTTTATTGGGTCTGGAGGTGGCTGGTGGTTCGAAGTCTCAAGTGCCCACCCTTTTCCTTGGCTGAATCTCAGCCCAAGCCCATTTTTCTTTTTGGTGTGGTATTCATTTGTTTGTTTGTTTGTTTGTTTACTTTTTAAAGACAGGGTTTCTTTGTGTAGCCCTGGCTATCCTGGAACTCCTTCTGTAGATCAGGCTTGTCTCAAATTCAAAGATCCACCTGCCTCTGCCTCCCAAGCACGGAGATTAAAGTGATGTGCCACCACTGCCTGGCTTGTTTCTGATTCACATAGGGAGCCTACTTCAATGAATGTCATCATTTGATGTTGGAGAATCCTCAAGAGAGCAAAGATACCTTAGAGAAATTAGTATCAGTGGAACTGTTAGATCACGCTCCTACACTTTCTGATATTGCACATCTCTATTGAAAACCAGTCACGTGGCAGTTGGCTGCAAGACATTTGCTCGTTAGTCAAGTTAGATGAGCTACAGATGACATCATCCTCACCTTTATCCTGTCGATGTTGGCTTCCATCTTCAGCTGCTCTACCAGCTTCCTGGCTTGTGCTATGCTGGCGGTGTTGTTGCTGGCCATTGGAGAGCTGGATGAGGTCTTCAGACACTCTAAAAAACACGGAGGAAGACTGCATTAGAGAACTCACAAGCTGTCAGACGTGCAGTTCTTCACAACTGGTGGACCTCAAAAAATTGCTGGTAACCAGGCCCAATTCTCCAGCCACCTGTATTCCAGTCAGGATTATCTATAACTAGCAGGTTTTGATTTCCCATTTCTGCCCTGCCCCAAAGAGTTCACCTAGTCAGGCGCAGTAAAATGCACTGATATATACATATTGTATATACATGTACACACATATGTATATACGTAGAGGGAGATCCTGATGTTAAAATCCTGTTCCCCAATTGGTCAATAAAGATGGCCAGGGGACAACTGCTGGGCAGAGGGTACAGGTGGGACTTCAGGGCACAGGAGGAAAAGGCAGGCACAAGGAAGGAGAGTGTTTTGTTTTTCTGCCATGCTTCGGAACAAGTAGAACGCAGCAACCACGTGAGGTCTCCGGGAGAGCTGGGGCTGTGGCCTCCACCACAGGCAGATGGCCAAGGATGTTTGGCAGGGGCGAGGTGGGACTAGACGCTAAGTTTAGGGCAGGTGGAGAGACGGAGATAATAAATACGAAGGGCATGCTTTTCCAGGTGGGAGATATCTGCGCCCAGCAATTGTGCCAAGAAGGCATGTTATGGAGTAACGAGCTGTGTGAGAGTGTCTTTTATCCACGGATTCAAGGGTCTCAGGAAGGAGCTGGTAGTGCGGTCACCTCCCGGAACAAAGGCGGGTAGACTCCCACCCCTACCCACGGAGCAAAGAAGGTAGAAAGGGAAGCCGCGCTAGGGCTGGTGGTGGTGGATCCTGGAGCTAAACTGGGTAGAACAAAAGGGAAGCCAGGAGGGGCTAGTAGCTTGGCCAATCCCGGTCAAAGGCAGCAGCATTTTAAAACTACACAGAACATATATATAATATCAAATCACCTTAATTTAATTTATAAAATGCCCTGGAAGTGGTAGGGTTCTGGTGCACACCATCACCGTATGGCTGCTGTGGGTTATGGGTTCTCTATCGTCCAGGGCTGGAGGAAGAGTCCTTAGAGGATGAGAGGGAAAGCTGAGCAGAGCGATCAGGGCAAATTTGATTTTCCTTCAGGTCTCAACACTATCTCCAATATTCTCACAGAATCAAGCTCCACTTTACTGTTTAGAGGTGACCACCTCAAACTGCTTACCACAGGGACACTAAACTGGGACAACAGGGGTAGTAGTGGATGTGGGGGTCGGCTTTCCAGTGCCACTTAATCGCACATTGTGAAGAGCTGTCCCTAAATACTCTGACCTGTGTCTGAGTTTGCAGCTTTTTGCTCACAGCTATTTTTCTTAGTCCTTCAGGGACACCCACAGTATCCAGGGGAGAACCATGTCTCAAATGCTAAAAGTGTGCCCTTGTGCTTTTCAAAGTTCTCTGCCAGTGTCGGATCAAGAGACAGTGTCTCTGCCGGAGCTCCCAAGCCCCCTCCTGTGGCATGCCTTCCACACCCTTCCAAACCTATCCTAAGTTTTATTTCTCTTCTAATTCTTTCTTGGGCTATCAGATTATCTTACTGTATTCTTTCTGCTCTTTTTAAAAATCATCATTTCATGTTTGGTGGTGTCCTCCCTCAAATCTTGACTGGGTCTTGCTTTCTCACCAAGGCTCCATGCTATCAGTTAAAGCTGCCCCTGGAGGTTACTGACATTTGATAGGGTAGCAATATCCAAGAGCTTTAATTTAACTAGAGTACCAGACCCAGGAAATGAAACACGCCACATGGCATAGGTCAACACTGATCCATTCTTGTTCTGGATCCATTATATTAAAAGCTGAACTGCTGGCTCACTTTGGGAAATGTATTTATGCAGGAATGGAACAGGACCAGGATCTCCTTCTAAAAAATGAACAAGGGCACATAGAAAGCCCAAGGGATGAAGAATAACACATAATAAGTCATAGATAATTTTATCCAACACTAAAAAAAAAAAAGACTGTAAGTGATCTCTTTAGTATTAAGAACAAAAGTCTATGAATTATCTCTTTGGTATTTTTCCATGCATAATTCTTCAAGATAAAAGAGGATATTTTATAAAATTCTCTGTCGAGTTCCTTCGGAGACAGTTAGTTTATAATGAATGCTGAAAACAGGCTGCCCAACATTTGCAGTGCAAACAGGAAGGCAATTAACTGTTCCCTCAACTTTGTTTCAAAGGGTTTGGAGACAACACAGTGAGGGAGAAATTGAAGCTATATCTGAAGCAACAAGGAGCTCCAAACTACCGTCAGACACTTGAAGATAAAGAGAGGGAGAAATTCTTTTTTTTATGATTTTTATTGGATATTTTATTTATTTACATTTCAAATGTTATGTCTTTTCCCTACTTACTCAATATAGTACTCGAAGTCCTAGACAGAGCAATTAGACAACAAAAGGGATACAATTTGGAAAGGAAGAAGTCAAAATATCACTATTTGCAGATGATATGTTAGTATACTAATGTGGCGCCAAAAATTCCACCAGAGAACTCCTAAACCTGATAAACAACTTCAGCAAAGTGGCTGGATATAAAATCAACTCAAACAAATCAGTAGCCTCCCTCTACTCAAAGGATAAACAGGCTGAGAAAAAAATTAGGGAAACAAAAAAAATCTCCTAGCTTGTGTCATAATTTTCTTTTTGTTAATCTTCTCATTTGATAACCTCCTTAATTTTATCTACTTTTCTATGTTTAATGAGTTTGTTTGAGACAAGGACATAACCCCGGGCCACATCGAACTCACCGTCCTCTACCATCTGCCTCTAGAGAACTAGGGTCTGTGGTTTGCACTACCACATGCCGACCATGTCCTTAATTGGAAAAAAAAAATGAAAGAACTTAATAGTAAAATTATGTTTTGTTCTGGTTTTTTTTCTTTTTTAAAATTATTTATTTATTTTTTCTCAAATCGTAATTCATTCACACAGGGGTTATAAACACAGAAAGGCAGGATGTGGGGAAGGGGATGACACTGGAGTGTGGGTGTTCAGGGGGAATACAGATATCTTTCAGAACCGGGTATCAGCTGTCCCCTGTTCAGGGGACAGGTTGCTATGACTCTGCCTATGACTCCCTTGTCCTTACCTAAGTTGGTATTGTCTGCCAAGGCTACCTATTTACAAGGTCTATGACTACTCGGGCTGGTAAATTTCCACAAAAGCTGCCTGTTTACAATAGCTTATAGCTATCTGTTTCAATGTTTTTTCACAGAGACCCAAGACTTGGTGTTAGTATACATATATGACAGGCCTATTGCTGTTTAGGCCTATGGCTGGTTTTAGGCCTTCAGTGTGTAATCAGGGCTGCCCCTGATATCTCCTCTCTTCTCTAAGTATAGAAGGGTTAAGAAAAAGATATCGGGATGGGATGGCCCTCATGCCTCACTGGACAACGACAGGGGGATCAGAGCCATTACAAGGTCCCCTTCAATTACTGGAGGTCAGGCCTCTATCCCCGCCTTCGCAAGATTAGAATCACCACAGCCCTTCTATACTGAGAGGGAGAAATTCATGTCAAACAAAACAAAACAAAACGATGGAGCTGGAGGGATGATTTGATAGGTGAATGAACTTGCTGCCAAGCCTGACAACCTAGGTTCAATCCCCTGAAGGCCCACATGGTAGAAGAGAAATGATCCCTGCCAGTTGTCCTCAGACCTCCACATGTGTGTCCAGCACAGAAACACACACACACACACACACACACAAAATAAAAATAAAAGACTATGAATTCATCAGCATGGTTAAGAACCTAGTCATTGTGTAGGGATATTATAAGTCCAAAACCCAATAAACTTTTGACAGCCTAGCAAAACTTTATAAAGCCAAGACAGAGTATTGACTTCCAGCCAGCCTGAGATAAAAACAGCCATGATCTCCAAGTCCCTGGACAATCTTTTGTGAAGCTAACATTTTTGCTGAACTAGAATTCATTCATTACATTAGAGCGAGATAATCATAGGATTACTGAACCTTCACTGGGCCTGAAAGAGATTTGGAAGTCTGGCCAGCTAACCTTTTGCATTGAATTGAAACTAAATCATTCAGTAACCTGACCCACAGACCATAATTTGCCTCCCAGTACCCTTCCCTAGTAAGAATACCTTTTCTTTTCATTTCTTTTCTTATGATATGTGTGTTTTACACGTTTGTGTATGCTCATGTGGGGTGTGTGTGTGTGTGTGTGTATGTGTGTGTGTGTATGTGGTGTAGGCCAGAGGTCAATGTCAACTGCTCTTTACCTAATTTTTTTGAGACAGAGTCTTTTACTGAAAACAGAACTCACTGATTCTTACAGGCTGGCTGCCCACTGAGCCCTGGGGATCCTCCTGTTTCTGCCTTCCCAGTCATGGGATTACAGGTGCATGCCCCTGTACCCAAAGTTTGTATGTAGGTTCTGGGAGGTCAAACTCAGGACTTCCTGTTTGCATGGCAAACACTTTAGCAACATAGCCATTTCCCAGGCCCACCTTCCTTCTGATTCAGAAATCACAGGAGCCCTGGACCTTAGCTGGGTATTGTCTGCTGAATGATCCATTTTCTAGCCTCCTTTGCAACTTGATATGATTATCCAAGCTTTGGTTAATAAGACACAGCAATGATGCCCTTAAGAAGGAGTTATCCCTCACTGTCATTTCTCTTCTGTTGCTGGCCATCTTGAATATTCCAGGATGAGCAGGAGAAATTTGCATTTTTTTTCTCTCTTTTTTTTTTTTAAAAAGTTTTAGGGCTGTACCCTTTCTTTAAAAAAAATAGATCAATTTAAAAATTCATATGTCTATATGTGTATTTTCACATGTATCTATGTACGTGTGAAGACTGAAAGCGAATGATAGACACCCTAGAACTGAAGTTACAGGCATCACCTGAGTTGGGTCTGGGAACTGAACTCAAGTCCCCTGAAAGAGCAGCAAGTGCTCTTAACTTCTGAGCCATCTCTCTGGGCCAGTGTAAGGATACCATGCTAGCTGTGGACTGGGCACCTTTTAT